AAGATCATGAAGAGAGATGCTCTGGTGAGTATAGTCAATTGGTGTGTTAGAATGGCATGGGCCTCTCCAGAGCAAGTGATGTTCCCAGTATTTGCATTCGTAAATTGGGTATTTTGACTTGCAATTTCGAACAATTCTATTGGCATAAAGGTTTCAAGGTTGAATATTGGATGGTATGTGTAGAAGGAACTGAGGGCTTTCGGTGGTATGGTGGTCTAGCAGTTTGGATGGTGGTTTGTTGGAGTTTTTTAGCTTCTAAGGTAGCTGACTCATTTGGAAAAGAAGAGAAGAGAGAGACAGAGAGTTTTTTTTTAATATTTTATTAAGGCATAATAGCAAAAAAGGTCCCTATGTTTCAATTTTTTTTACGTTTTCATCCATATTTCCACATTTCATTACGGAAAAATCATTTTCACAAATTTGAACGATTAGACTTTTTAATAATTATTTGGATTCACTTACACTTTTTAAAACATTTAGGAGTAAGATTGTAATTTATTCTTTTTTTTATTTAAATGGGAGGGTATTTTTGTCATTTTACATTAAAAATGGTGAAAATGATGTTTTCTGCAATGAAACGTTGAAATAAGGACGAAAATATCAAAAAATGAAAGGTATGGGCGTTTTCCATTATAACATTGAAAAGTAGGGACATTTTGTGCTAATTACCCATATAAATATATATAGAATTATTTTGAAAGTTTTAAAACTTGTGGGGGATTGTTGAGAATAAATTTAAAACTTTAAAATTAACATTTAAATTTCAATTTTTTGTTTCCATTTTCTTTTTGTTTTTTATTTTAATTTTTAGGTTCAATACAAAAAATTAATCTCATTATTATAATTGTAACTTATGTTAAATTTGATTATTTTTTATTATGAGAGTTAAATTTTCTAATATAAAAGGAGGTGCATTTCCCATTGTTTTGCACACAACAAATCCAACACTTGAAAAATACTCTCTAGTCTTTTCTTATTACTCTTTAATCATTTTATATTATCTTTTTCTATAAATTTCGACAATTGATAAGGGTTTGATCTTTCTCTTCTTTTGGTCGTGTCCATCGAATAAGAATCGGTTGTGAGTTATAAGGGTTTTATCTTGAAGTTGTGCAATGTCGAAAGTACCTGCACGAAGAGGAAGCCACACGACTTTAGGACATTGGTTATCGCAAGTCTCTTAGGCTAACTTTTCTAACTATATTCTCATATTTATTTCACATGACTTATGCTTATAATTGATAATTCGTTACACAAATTACTTTATTTTATAACAGGTATGCCATACTTGATGGATTGGTTGCCTTCTTTTCACTGCATTCTTCCACCAAAATCCTTTGGGCTTCATCCAGTGTGACCTCAATGCCTTCTTTTCCTATTTGAGAACAGGTGGACCTTGCAAGTCTTCTCTCTCATTCGTGATAAGATATATGCATTCCCATGCATAATGGGTGTATTTGATTTTTTTTCATCCCATTTTACATTGTGAAATAGTCATTTTTATTGGTGATTTTAGAAACATTTTAGTCATTTCATGAGTTGACATTCATTTATTATTATGACGAGGCCATGAATAAGTTCCATTTCCAAGGTTTTTCTGCAGGTTTCTTCTTTCGTGACACTTTTGAAGTAATTCACTACATGAACTTATAGGCTTAGTGCACTAAAATCTAGGTTTATTATGTCAAAATTCGCACTGAGGTTTTTGCCTATATTCAAGATTATTTTGAGAGCCCTTAGCTTTTGTTTTGGGTTGAGGGCTCCAATTGTAATTTTTAACCAAATGATTGAATTCCACATTCCTTTGCTCAGAGGAACTTCATCGGACAAGGCACCTTTTTGGGTTTGACAAGCTTCATCGATCGAGGTGTAAACATTTGTCCCATAACACGTGGGTGTATGTTGGGAACCTTTCATGGATAACGTGTCATTCAGGTGGATAACAACTATATTAAGACATGACAACATCGATTATGTCAAAAACATTTAGCTTCAAACTGGTCCATTTATTATAAAAATGATGCTAATGAACTTTTCTAGTGACTACTTATCTGGAATTAGTACATTAAGGGCTTGTTTGGGAGTTCTGGGGATACTTGTTATGGGTCTTTATTTAAAAATAATGATTTTCAACATTTGAATGGTTTTGATGGCAATTTTAATACAGTCAAACTCATGTTTGGGAGTTTATTGGGCACCAGTTCTAAAAGTTATTCAAAATAATAAAATTACATGGTTTAAGCTTCTTGGACAGAGAATTGGGACAGGGGCCATGTGGCACCCCCCTATTGGAGGGGTAGCTGACGCCCTCCAATAGGGGGGAGCCACATGCCCCCTATTGCCAAACCCTGTCCCAATTCCCTGTCCCCCTAGCATATCTCAAATTACATATATGTCTCTTAGTTAAATTTTCAACTTAGAATTTTTTGTATGACCGGTCATATTTTTACTTATAAGTAATTTTTTTACATATAATTTAAGATTTAACTAACAAAGTTAAATATCTAATAAAATTTAAGTTGCTATTTTTTTTTAACTTATAAGTAAATTTTATAGTTATAAATTAATTTTTACTTCTAAATCATTTTAACTAGTAAGCGAATTTTTTACTTATAAGTAACTTTTCATATTTTATAAGTGAAATTTTGTCTTATTAGTGGTATTTTTATTTTATAAATATTTTTTTTACATGAAAGTGACTTTTATATTATAAGTTATATTTATTTATACGCCAGTATTTTAATTATGTTAATAAATGTTTTTTTAATTAATGTATTTTTATTCAGTAATTAGTTTTTAACAAAATATTGATTAGAAATAATTGTTTTATAATGGATAAAATTAGAAGAGAATACGAGAGAACGGCCAAAATTCAATAATTTCGTAGGTTGAGAGAAGCTATTAAAATTACACCATCGATTTTGGGTAGTTTTTAAATTATCAAAAATCGGTGCTCAAAGATATTAACAAGTACATTTTTTTTTCTAGTGCAACTCAAAATTGGTGAAGAAAAACTGGAAAACTACTTAATTTTAAAAATATATAATGGAAACTACAAATTTTAAAGAATGGACAATGATGTTTTTAGATTATCCATTACCTCAGTGTTGATTTTCTTGCCCACATCCAAATGCACGTCACAAGCTCCCATACCGCGAATGCGACTATCATTGACATTTTACATTGTGAAAATTGCAGTTGAGGTATCAAACCTTTCGTTTATTAACAGATTTGATCTAAACATTTCGTTTATACTGTCCATGATACCAAACCTTACCAAAATTCGCACTAGAAGTTCAAATGGATGGAAACCGTTAGTAAATCCGTTAATTGACCTAGGCTCAACATTTTGACCAAATTTTAAAGGATAAATTCTTCTTCTTCCCTACGAAGCCCACCCCACCCCCACTCTGCCGAAGTCAAACCAACGTCCACCCACCCCAATCGCACCAACCACTACCGTCCACCACTCCCAAATCAGTCTTCAACACCTAAGAATCCACGCTGCCGTCAGATTTCTTCGGCTTCTGACCATCATGTTCATTCTTCAAGCCTAATTTCGAGAATAACTTAGAACATTTGTTCAAGCACGAGGAGGCCGAACAATTTGGATGAAGAGAGAGAGAGAGCCCAAATTTCAGTTAAGAGTCGAGGTATAGGTTGATGTCGCTTCTACCAGCAGTCGAGGTAAGAAAGATTAAAGACAGCCCTTCAAGCTGCCATTGTTCGAAGAAAGGAGGTAAAAGGTAAAATAGAGGGGCTAAGAAAGCAGCTACCCTTGGGAAAGAAAATTGAACTACAATGAGCTGCCAATCACTATAAATATAAATTGGCAAAGCCAGAAAATGGGGTTACATTGAAAAATAATTTACAAAAAAACAAGTCCAATCACTACAAATATATGTAGCAGGAGAGCATTATTGCTCTTATTTATCAGCTTGAGGAGGTTACACTACACGTCGGTGTTGGATTTTGTTGTGGACGGTTGAGATGGCAGACGAAAGGGTGAGTGACGGTGGTGGTTCCATTTGTAGCTTTTTTTTTTATTATTATTTTGGGCCGGGGAGGGGGGGTGGAACGAGGGTATTTTGTTTTTAGGTTTTTTTAATAGAAAATATAATGTTACATTTTTACCCTTTAAAATGTGGTCAAAATGTTGACTCTATGTCAACTAACAGTTTCCATCCATTTGAACTATATGTGTGAATTTTTAAAAGATTTGATATTGTGGATAGTACAAATAAAAGGTTTGGATCAAGTCTGCTAAAAAGGTTTGTTATCTCTTCTGCAATTTTCCCTTTCACATTTGTATTTCCTTCGACCAATAGGACATTACGTTTCCATCAATTTTATTGGCTAGTCACTCCAAAAATTGTTTGCTTGCTATAAATTTGGAAACCAGATTTAAAAATAATAAATAAAACGAATATAAAAATTAAAATATTGCGTTTTAAATCCATGATATTGCAAATGTACCAATAAAAAATTCTAATTATCAGATTTGCTGCGAAATGAGAGACATCTTCAAAAATCATATGTATAAAATCTCGGTCTTTTTCAATAATCACTCATTTGAGAGCAAAACAATATTCTGAAAAAAAAAAAATATATATATATATATATGAATATGAAAATTATGTTATCTAATACTAAATTCAAGCTCTAATTTCAAGCAACCATGTTATGCTATCTTGTTCAACCAAGATGTAAGATGAAGAAGACTAGACTTCGACTGAAGAGTGTGTTTTGTGGATGGATATTTTTGTGATTTGCAAGCTCGATTTCTCGGGCAAAAGTAGACTTTTCACATGTAATTTCTTGTTTGGCAGTGATTAAAATCAGATTTTTAGCAAATTTTGATAAATGTTGATGAAAAGTGTGTGATTGAAAAGTTGTGAAGTCCATAAATTGCATGGTTAAAATTAATTATTAAATTTGATTTTGGATTAATATTTGTCCAAATAACTTCCCCAAAACTGTTCCTTTTTTCATTTTTACATTTTTTTCATTCTTGGAAAATTGCTCACAACTCTAATTAAACTTCACTCACTAGTTGGTCTTCAATGCAGAATAATGTGGCGACAACAAACAAGGAATCTCTGCAGCGTCCCTAGTGGACGCTCATTAACGGCGAAGAAATGGGACGCGCTGGTGATCGGGGGAGGCCACAACGGCCTCACAGCCGCCGCCTACCTCGCCAGATCAGGCTTGTCCGTCGCAGTCCTCGAGCGCCGCCACGTCATCGGCGGCGCTGCTGTCACTGAAGAACTCGTCCCCGGCTACAAGTTTTCCCGATGTAGCTACCTCCAGAGCCTCCTTCGCCCTGCACTTATCAAGTCTCTTCTGTTCCGTATTCTGAATTACGCACATACACACATAATTGACGAATTTGTTGTTAAGTTTACCTTTTTTATTGATTAGGTGTTTTTTATGACAAAGGGAATTGGAGTTGAAGAGGCATGGATTGAAGATGTTGAAGAGGAGTCCATCGTCATTCACTCCCTGTCTAGATGGACGCTACCTTCTGCTTGGTCCTGATAAGGAGCTTAATTATTCGGAGATATCGAAGTTCTCGAAACGCGATGCTGAGGCTTATCCTAGGTCAGAAATCGCGTCTTCATTTATTATTCTATGAAATGGTAAACCAAAAAATGGAAAGACTTGTTCTTGAGTAATCTAATGGTGGTCAAGTCATTACATTTAGCACAACCTATAAAATTAGATGGAGGAAAAACTTATTGGGAGATAGGAAACAGAAATGGGTTGGATAAATGTTGAAATTGTTGACAATATCTTTAATCAATTAAAAAATGCAACGGTGTGACCAGTGAAATAAGCTCTCTGAAAATAGTTTTAGGAAAACAATAGGTTTTAGGGCATGTTTGATACAAAGTATTAGACTGGAGTGCAGAGTATAATGGTCAATATTTTAGCTTATTTTTCTTATTTAATTATGTCAAGCCATCTTGCAAAACAACCCATTAATATGGGATCCTTGGATTTGGGTAGTAGTCGAGTTGAATAGTGATATGACTCATTCTGTTTCTGAATACCTTTTTTAAGCTCGAATTCTTCCATGAAGCAATGGAAAGTGGTTGTGGAAAGTAGCACACATAGGTCATAATCCTATTAAATTTATTTTGGTTTTATCATATATTCACCGCTAGGTTTTGAAATGTGCATATGATTTTTACATCCTCAAATGGCTTATGATGTTGGAGCATAAATAATATGGTTGAACTGGTGATGTGAACAAAATGGAAAAATTTATGATTCAAGTTTTTTCGCATTTTTTTTTCCTGGTACAAAATAATTCGATGAAATACAATTGGCATATCTATTTCTCTCCCTTATTATTGTTTCTGCTCTTGGTTCTCATATATAGGTACGAGAATCAGTTAGAGAACTTCTGTAAATTCATGGATCCACTTTTGGATTCGTCTCCACCTGAAACTTTGCAAGGAATCTCATCTTTTAATGGTCGGATGAAGAGTAAATTACAGAAGTCTGTTTTTTGGGCTCATTGTCTGCGACGAGCACTTGTCTTGGGGCAAAAGGAGATGGTGTAAGAGTTCATTTTCTCTTCTAAGTTGGATTTATCTTAGTTGCATTTTGTTAGGTGGTCTCTTATTTTGCTAATTATGAGAGACAATATCCCTGTGTAGGTATTTGTTTTAGCTTAAGTAGAGACTGACTTATACCAACTAATCCCCAAGTTCTTGGCTCACGTTCATTGAACTTCTCAGGGATTTCATGGACCTATTACTGTCCCCTGCCTCAATGGTTTTAAATAACTGGTTTGAGGTAATAACATGATTGTTGTCCCACTAAATTTAATTATACATTGCAGCGATAGTGTATGTGTCTATGGAAGTATGTGTTTCTGTATTTCTGAATGACCATGATCTTTATCCTTTATTCTATTCTTTAAACTTGAAAATAATTCTTGTACCACAAACTTCGCCTGTTGGTTTTTTTGCTATTTTTTCTTTTGTTGGCTCTTCTTTTTCTCCCTCTATTTGTATTTCTCTCACATCCATGCCAGACTATTTTTTCCTCGACTGTCATGTCAAAGCTCCAAAGGTTTCTCAATGGAAGCTATTCTGCAACAAGTCTTTTTGGCAAACATCAAATCTCTTATTTATCTTTTACACATAATATTTGCTGTTAACCTGGAAAAAGGTTTGGGAAGGAAATGGAAACTGATTCATGACCTGACCTTTGCATGGATTTCTAGATAGGTTTATTGCAGTAATAATAGAATGAGTTTAAACTGCTTATGTCAGCTAACTCACAATGTGGCTGGGTTGCAGATGCTTTTAGGAAGTGTTCCTGGCCAATCATCTCTTCCTCCTATTTTCCCAGCAGAACTAGAATATATCCAACGTTCATTTAAAAAAAATATCTTTAGTAATTAATATTTAAGTAATGCATCAAAAACAGATTGATTTGGACCTGTTGGGATTTTCCTATTAAATTGTATTGTTTTTAAATGTTTTAGAGAGCTTTGCGCCATGTATTATTTGCATCGTTGTCATCATCGTTATTATTTAAAATATTACACTTCATAACTTTATTTCTTTAAATCCCACTTACTGAAAAGTTTTCTATTTCTTCACTTCATAATTGACAGAATGATGTCTTGAAGGCAACACTTGCAACGGATGCTGTAATAGGAACCACGGTGAGAACTGTATTTCCTTATCATATTGATCTCTGATGTTAACACATGCAGGATTGTTGTTACTGAAAGATATCATTTTACCTAGGACAACATGGGATTCTGTTTTTGTAATTTCATTTGCAATGGTAACGCCGTGTTGTATAATTGAATGACAACCCATCCAGGCTGAAGTTTTCATTGTTCTATAAACGAAAGACTGCAATTATTTCCCTATTTCAGTAATAATTCTTGCTTGTATTTGATGTAATTGCTAAGATATATCACGTGTCTTATAATTCTTAGCAGCCTTCAGTTCTTACATTAACTTTTCCCTGAGAGTGAACAGGATCTATTTTGGTGAGAAAAATTCAAGGTTTCTTTCCAAATTTTATGCTTCAGCAGAAATGCCAAAGAAATTTTAGACATTTGAGAGGGTCGTGGTTTCTATCAAAATTTACAGAGCAAAAAAAATATGAGGGGCTATCAAGAAGCAACACCAACCCTTAGGAGTATCTATAACATCAAACTAGTGGGAATGTCTAGTCATCTTTGACTTGTGTTGGCACAGTTATCATAAGTCCTTCATAATTACACAACTATCATCATTTTTTTTTTCATTCTGTATTTAGCAACATTTTGTATTGATGTATGGCTCTTGGAGCCTTTGTCTAGTATCCATAGGTGATGGCGGGTGCAATTGAAAGATATAGAAGATAAAAATCAAAATTTCATTTTGTGCATATATACTAGGGATAATTGCAATTGATACCCCAAAACTTTCAAAAAGTTGCAGACTTCTTCTAACCTTTCATTTGTTGTAAACGTCACCCCAAACCTTTCAAAACATTGAGGATGAATCCCCAATGGATGAATTTCATCTATATTTCTGTTAGTTGACCAAAAAAATGGACTTTGATCATATTTTAATCAATTATAAAATGACAAAATGGTAACTTTATATTTTTCACATTAAAAACCTTAAATAAAAAACAACACAAAAGGAAGAAGAAGATAAAATGAAAAGGTTAAAATATTTTCTTCTCCCTCACCCCCAACCCAACACCTCAACCCAAAACTAGAAATCTACCTTTATCACCACCTGGCCCAAAATTGACCGCTACCCGCACAATCACTACCATCACCACTCTCTAAACTCCCAATCTCATTTGCCCTTCCCCAGTTCTCCACCACCTCCAAATCAAACTCCCCCACCTCAAAATCCTCCATCATCACCCCGTTCTCATCCACCAACCCAACCCTCTGCACCGCCAGTGAGTATGTTGAAAAGACACACAATTAGAAGGAAGCGAAATTGATGAAGTAGAATTTTTCGTAACTCCATTATTAACTGAATTTTGATGAGAGGAAAAGAAAATAAGTTGCTAAGAAGAGCCATCAGAAAAACGCTTGCCCAAGTAGAAGAAAACTACTAAAAAGAGTAAGAAACCATATATTTTGGCTAATGTGGCTGACTTGCACAGAATTGATCCTCCTACATTACTCATTGTGTATATTAAAAATACTCAAAATTTTCAAAACTCTTGTATTGTTGCAAATTTGAAGTTTACAGTGTTTGAATTTATTCATGTATGGCTCAAGGTGACTCAAATGCTGTTATTGCAGTTTTCCATGAATGAGGGAAGGAAAATTGTGGTGGCCAATCCCTATGAACGGGTTTCTGGGCCAGGCGGTGGCGATAGTAGATTTCTAGTTTTAGATTGAGGGGTTGGGATGGGGGTGAGGGAGAATAAGATTTTTTTTATTTTTTTTACTTTTCATTTTATTTTCTTCTTCCTTTTGTGTTGTTTTTTATTTAAAGTTTTTAATGTAAAAAAATATAAAGTTACCATTTTGTCATATTATAATTGATCAAAATGTGGTCAAAGTCCAATTTTTTTGGTCAACTAATAGAAATATGGATGAAATCCATCCATTGGGGCTTCATCCACAACGTTTTGAAAGGTTTAGGGTGACGGCTACAATAAATGAAAGGTTAAGGACAAGTCTACAACTTTTTGAAAGGTTTGGGTTTCAGCTGCAATTATCCCTATATACTATTAACCCCTTTCATTTTGTTTTGCTTTTACTTGCTTTGAGATCACCAAATTAAAGGGCTCAGATTTGGCAAAGTATTGGAGCCTGAATGGCTGAACCAAAATGCTCAAGTCTATGTGGCAAGATAGTGGCTACTAAAATTTCTATAAACAATTCATGTATATTGCACATAACAGATGTGGTATAGGGGTTGCATGAGTTCTTTCAGTATCTTTTGCTTATTAGGAAATGCAACAGATAGGTTATGAGTCAGCAGAGTGAACCAGACTTGGAGAACTTTTACGTTACACATTGATATTATGTTAAATTTTTAATTTAGAAGGGGAATAGGAATTGTCTTTTCAAGTCGGTCTGCATATTGAGGATTCTTCGGAACACTACTGTCATAGATGGATTTTGTAGATCCTTCCTCATATTCTGTTACTAGTCACGTGGCTTGCACTAATGTTCTTCCTCATCTTGTCACATATTTTATTGGTCACTAAGGCATACATTGATGGTCATCATGTATATTATTTTTATGCATTTTTTAGGATCAATTACGAAAATAGTGTTGTATCCGTATTATGAAGTTTCATTGATTTTGATCTATTATGTATTAATGAGATTTGTCCCTTTTCTTTATCTTAGGGTAGTCCCAATACACCTGGGAGTGGATATGTTTTACTGCATCACGTGATGGGAGAAACTGATGGGGAGCGTGGAATTTGGTCGTAAGTATCTGCTTGAAGATGATCCAAGGGAATACAAAGAATGCTAGTATTATCGTTCATTGTTAAATTGCTAATTAAGTTTGGATCTTGTATGAAGTACATTTATTATTTTATGTATTTAATAATTAGACATTTCTTATAAAATTAGATTTACATTGACCTGCCTACTTTTAAAATTCACTATTCTATTCTCAGCATCACCAGCATGACCTATCATGTTATTTACTCTCACTTCTTAAAAGATATAATTTTTAGGTATGTTCAAGGTGGGATGGGCTCTGTTTCTCTGGCCATTAGCAGAGCAGCTAAAGAAGCTGGTGCTACCATAGTGACAGAAGCCGAAGTAAGTATGTGCAATCTATCATGTTAGTTTGCTCATCTCCTTAAATATATTGAAAAACAAATGCACAGAGTAAGTTATTTTATTTAAAGTGCACATATTCTTGTGTATAAATTAGATATTTTGAACTTAACATTCAGACAAAGTTAGTGTAAATGATCTTTGATGCCAGCTTATCGTTGGGCTTGTTATTTATTTAATTGTTTTTGTCTATGGAGGAAAAGGGAGAAAGGACATGTAAACCGGAATATTATAATGTGGCCGAAGAGCATGGACAACACATAGTTGAGCCTATTAGTTGCAAACTGTTTGCAGCATCTTTTTTTCATGTCCAGATTCTGGCATTCTACAAACATATTAGAGTCAGTTCTTAAAAGGATGAGGGAGCTTGATACAGCAGATTCAGGTGTCCAATCTTCTCAATGTTTTTCTTGCAGCACCATGTGCCTAGTGACTACGCCTAGATCGTCCAGGTGAAGGCCACAATATATTCTAGACTCTAGAGAAAAAACTACTTAATCTTGTTTCCACTTAGGTCCGAAATGTTCAAACCTTGTTAACTTGAAGCCTATACTTCAACTACTATGCAGTAACCAAGGAACCATAATTGACAGGAGACAGCATTTTAGGGCCTTACAATCACTCTTGATTAAGGTCCTGATTTTTCTTAGGCATCAATTTACTCCAGTTAACTTTTTTTTAGTTGATCATTAAGGGACTTGATTATTTTCTGATGACTCCATTGTCAAAATCCTTTGTAAGCCCCTGTGATTTTATAGTTGGGATTAAGGTACATATCCTGCTTTTTAACTTTTTTTAGTTGATTATTAAGGGACTTGAATTTTCCCCTCTTCTGATGACTCCCATGTCAAAAATCCCTTTTAAATCCATGACATGAATATTGTTTGAGCTGTTGATGCTCATTTACCTAATTTGGATAAGAAAGCAATCTTGTCTACTGGCTTATATTTGCTCTTAGGCTATATTTCTTCCTTTCTCTTGAATATTGATAGGATCATGTGCTGTTTTTCTTATTATTTCCTTATTTGACCACCTTTCTATGATATATAGATTTGTAACGGTTTATTAAAACTAAATATCCATGATCTACAGTCTCTCTTTAATAATGGCAAATATGAACCAATATGATCTGATAACTAAAGAATATCATAGAGGTTGATTTTACTCACAATCCAAGGCCGTAGCTGTTGGTATCACTAGTTACCTTAAAATTTTTGTGCCATGTCTCTACCCTTGATTGTCACATGTATAAGAAAATGGAGCCTCAAAAGCAGTGGGAGGAGCCAAGTCTCAAACCGTGCACATGTTGCTAAATGAGCTGGCAACTCATAGCAGTGCTTAGACATTACTTCAGTACTTCTTAATCCTTTCAAAATGGCAGAAACATACCTGTTTTTTGTGATACTTTTTCTATCAAAGAATCCTACGACATTTGATTCCCCGTGATCCACTTTGGATAAAAAAACAGAGCGTTTGTTTGCAGAGGTTGTTGTAGTTTTCATTGTTGTTGGTAAATTGAAAAAGAGAGAATATGCTATGTTGAATTGGTTCTAATTTACCTTCAACATTGATCCAAAATTTAGTTAAATAGGCTCAGTTATTGACCTTCAAACTCTTTGCATGTTTGTTATTTTTGGATCATCAAGTTGCTTATTTTGATATACTAAGAATTGTTCTTTAAAAGTAAAACTATGCTATTATGTTGTTTAGGTCTCAGAATTGATGATAGAGGACCCGGGCAGAGTGTGTGGGGTAAATTTCTGAGCTACATCTTTCATTGATGTAGTCAAGCCTGCACAAATTTATATTTTTGTATTTTGATTGGGTTATTCAGGTTTTGTTGGCTGATGGTACACAAGTGCGCTCTTCAGTTGTGCTGTCAAATGCGACTCCATACAGAACATTTATGGTAACTCTATTCTCCTTTCAATATGTTGAGCTGAGGAAGTGGGAAATGTATTTTTACCATAAAGAACAGGAAAATGCATGTTAGCTATGACCATGCATTGTTGAATGTTGTAGGTAATACTAATTATAATCATGTATTATGATGTACTGCCAGGAATTTGTACCAAAGAATGTGCTTCCGGATGATTTTCTTCATGCTATCAAGAACTCTGATTACAGCTCTGTAAGTGCCGTTGCCTATGAATTAATATATTCTCCATTTTCAAAAGAAAATTTGGCAGCTGCTGTCTTATGTTGTTGACATGCATACTGTTGTCTGAGATTGTTAATAAGGATGTATTAGCTTACTTTTCAAAGCTTTATAGCAAAAACTTTTTCGCTGTATCCTTTATCTTCCTCGTGATTTTTTATTTTCATGTTTTCAACAAATTGAACTGAAATTCAAGAGGTCCTTGTAAAACTGGAACAGGCAACTACAAAAATCAACTTGGCTGTCAACAAATTACCTCAATTTCATTGCTGCAAGTTGGGCAATCCTGATGCTGGTCCTCAGCATATGGGGACCATTCACATTGGTTCTGAGACGTATGTCATCATTTTATTTGTCATCTCATGACCATTTCAGATTTACTTACTGTTCAATTCATCATAACTTACATCTTGAAATGTTTTCAACCAATAGAAGGGCACTGGAACATCAACTTGATAATCCTTAAACATATTTTTAAATGTCCATAAATATTTACACTGGTCGTGGAAAAAGATTGGTTTGAGATTTGTTTAATTTTTTGTTTTACATTATGGTCAGTACTTCAAGGGAAGGAATAGACATCTTCTGTTCACAATGCTTAAAACTTAAAATCTTCTCATGCTTTAGTTTCTAATTGCCAATTGGTCGATGAATGGAAGAAAAATAATTAAGGTCCTAAGATTTACTATTTTGTCACATTATATTAGTTGGTCTGCTGCAAAACCACGATGAACACCAGAGTGATAAACTTCAAATAAGTGATCCTAGAGCATTTGTTCATGTTTCTTCTTCTCATATTTTTACAGGTTATGAGATAATACATTATCAAAATAATTCCTAACTCCATTGTTTGTTGTGATAGTAAACGAAAGGCTCCGAATGTTACATAGTTGCACTGGCCTTTGTTACAAAAATTTGAACACGAGTACAGCCATTGTCCATTGATTTTTGTATCTTTGGTTGATGAATAAATTTATGACTACTAAATTATTTATAACTCAATCAGTATGGAGGAGATTGCCTCTGGCTGTCAGGATGCTGTAAATGGCATACCATCCCGACGACCTATAATTGAGATGACAATTCCTTCTGTGCTCGACAAGACTATTTCTCCACCTGGTATGCAAAATTTTTTTTTTTTTTTCTCCCCCTATTGTGGGAAAATTAGAGCTTTGTTTATGTGGTTATATCTTAATTTTATCTATTCTTTTCTAAGTATATGTTGAATACAGAGGAAATGTGAGCACAAGTGACTTGAGTTGTAACTCGAAACTTGAAATTTTATATTGCTAGGCTTTCTTGTTTGATGGATCCTTTTTGTCAGGATCATTCTTTTAGCTGCCCAGCTTCTTGCCCTTGTTACTTGTGAAAGAAAATTAAAATGAGTGGGGACTTGCTGGGCCTGTGACCCAATGATTTTATGTTTAACTGAGTTTAAGAAGGAACTTGGACTTAATTATGATAGTTCAGATTTGTTTGTTGCCAAGCCTTAAACAAATTTTATGGGCATTATCATTAGTTAACTCTTCTGACTCCCTTCATTGATGGATTAACTGAGTTCTTTACAGGGAAGCATGTAATCAATTTATTTGTTCAGTACACACCTTATAAACCCTCTGACGGCAGCTGGGAAGATTCTGCTTATAGAGTGAGTTATATTTTCGGTAGTTGATGTTCAAATATATTCATACTATGGTCATATTACGTTTTCCAGCTACGTTGTCTGTTTTATTTAATGTAGCATGCTTTCTTATTATTGAATCGTCTAATGTCTCGCTTTTTCCACTACAAATAATTTCTTATGATAGTAAATCTTTGCTGCAGAAATCATTTGCCGAAAGATGCTTCACCTTAATTGAGGAACATGCCCCTGGCTTTATCTCATCAATTATTGATTATGACATGTTGACTCCTCCGGACCTTGAAAGAGAAATTGGTTTGACAGGTAAACTTAGATGAAAATTACAAACTTTACAATGATAGTATAACTAAAATTTTGTCCATACATTTGGCTGCTGCATACCTTCTTAAGAATATCATAGCTCATACATTTCTTTTAATTTCTCAGGAGGAAACATTTTTCATGGTGCCATGGGATTAGATTCACTCTTTCTTATGCGACCAGTGAAAGGATGGTAATTCTGATGCTCGAGTGTTATTTGTCATTTATTCTTGCTTGAATATTTGCTTTTATCAGACTGTAAGACAGTAATTTTATTTTTAATCTTGGATGCAGGTCAAATTATAGGACTCCAGTACGAGGTTTGTATCTGTGCGGGAGCGGGGCCCATGCAGGTGGAGGGGTAATGGGTGCTCCCGGATGTAATGCAGCTCACGTGGTCATTCAAGATATAAAGAACTCACAGTAACTGATGCTTGTATTACCTTTAGGAGATTGACTTCTCCAGTTGCAGAAGCTCGTTGTAGGTGATAACCTCGAGTGTTATCAAATGGCATTCTTCGTCTGAATTTCAATATCGTGGGTTGGCCTTGAAGATTTCATCAGGGATATCTAGTCTGGATTTGTACTCAAAATTGATAGGAGTAACTTCTTATTTCAACCTCTTAGGACAGGCTAATGAATCAGCCACACTTGGGATAAATCTTAAGGTCTTTTAGTTAATATTTTGGACCATGTAATGCTGAACTTGCAGTTAGAGCTCTGCTGTGGAGCAATGGAGAGCTTAGACGATACCTGAATTTTCGGCTTTCCCTTTTTGTATTTAAACAATCTTTTGTATATTTTCCGACTCTTAATCTGCATCTCTCTGTCTACAACTCCTGCCTGAACTATTTTTATAGCCTTTTTGTATCCACACATACAAATAAAGCCTAATTCCTAGCTCAAACAATGACATAAAAGATTAAGGCCGCTTGATAAGGGTGTGAGTTTCAACGGGAGAGTTTACAATAGCCATGTCAAACCAACCATTCACCATACAAGACTATGGAATTGTGAAAATGGCCTCTTACGCTAAAAGACAAAAATACTCTTAAAATGTTAATAAATTATAAAATCATGTGTATGTTAAAAAGGCAACAATATTCTTTCTGTTACGAATAGAGAGAAAAAGAGGAGGAAATGAAAGTCAATAATTTTTTGTGTTTTAGTAAGAACAGTATAAGAATTGGGAATACAATGGTAATAATTTCTAGAATTACAAGGGTACAATTGTAATTCATTAATAAACTTATCATTTAAAACACTCCCCTTAAATGACATATTATAAAATATCTGTCTCGTTAAGGCATTGTTTGATAAAAATTCAATGGAACAAAAAAGTCAAATGAAAGAAAAAGAGAATAGTTATTTTTTAGTATTAAAAATAAATCTCTTCATTAAAATATTGCTAGGAAAACTCAGTGGAATAAAACATATGCGAAAGAAAAAGAGTATAGCTACCCCCTGATGTTGCTCATCTGAAAACCTTTGAGTCGACATTCTAATCTCATGAACCAATTTCTTGAATATAGATGTCAACAATGCTTTTGTGAATAAATCGATCACATTATCACTTGAGCGAATTTGCTAAACATCGATATCGCTATTCTTTTGAAGCTCATGTGTGTAAAAATTTTTAGAGAAATATGTTTCGTCCTGTCACCTTTGATATAACCTCCTTTGAGTTGTGCAATATAAGTTGCATTGTCTTCATAAAAAAATTGTTGGTCTATCTTTTTGTTGAAGTTAACCTACATGATGCTTGGATATGATGGGTCATATTTCTCAACCATACACATTCCCGTCATGCTTCATAGATTGCAATAATTTCAAAATGGTTTGAGGATGTCGCTGTCAAGGATTGCTTTACAGATCTTCATTATATAGCTATTCCTCTGCGTGTAAACATATGTCCTGTTTATGATTTAGCTTTATATGGGTCAGAGAAATAACATTCATTTGTATATCCCATTAAAGCAGATCCCGACTTTTGAGAATAAAATAATCTCAAATCAATAGTGCCCTTTAAGTAGCAAAAAATATGTTTAAAACCATTTCAATGTCTTTTGAGTTAGTGTATAGCTATATCTTGCAAAAAAATTTACAGAAAAAATAATATCGGGTCGAATGCAATTTGCAAGATAAGTCAATGGTCCAATTACACTAAATTATGGTACTTCAGGACCAAGAATCTTTTCTCCATTTTCAAGTGGGCGAAATGGATCTTTTTTTCACATCAACTTATCGAGCAACCATAAATGATGTCGATGGATATGCATTATCCATATAAAAAAGCGCTTTAAGTCTTTTTCTGTATAAATAGATTGATGAACAAATAATCTTTTGAGGAAATGTTCAATCTACAACTCGAGATAAAATTTGATTTTTCCCAAATCTTTTATTTCAAATTCATTTTTCAAATAATTTACAATTTTGTTGAGCTCTTCAGGAATTTCAATTAAATTTAAATCATTAACATATATTGTCATAATTACAAATCTAATATGTGTTTTCTTTATGAAAATATATTGGCAGACATCGTCATTTTTATAACCCTCATACAACAAATATTCTAAGGCAACTATATTATATCCATTCAGATTGTTTCAATTCATATAATGATCTTTGGAATTTAATTAAGAAAATGGTTCTCAGGCATGTATCGTTTGTTCCTAATACTTTAATTCCTTCGAAGACTTTCATATATATTTCATTATCAAGTGAACTGTACAAATAGGTAGTTACTATATTCATAAGGCGCATATCGAGCATTTGTGGTACAGTCAAACTAATTAAGAATAAAAAAGAGAAAATGTCCATTACAGGAGAATGTGTTTTCTCGTAATCAATTTCCGGTCTTTGTGAGAAACCTTGAACTATGTGTTGAGCTTTATATCTTGTAATTTAATTTCATTTTCGTTCAAAAATCCATTTTTAATTCTATAGGGATTTCATTTTCAGGTGTTCGAACTACATGTCTAAACATTTTTCATTTCTCTAAATAATTAAATTCCGCATGTATTCTTTCCATTTTGACCAATCATTTTTATTTTGACAGTCTTTAGCTGATTGGGGCTCAGCATTCTCATTTTGCATAATATTAAGAGCCACATTGAAAGCGAAAACATTGTCTATAACAACATTATTTCATTCCTATAGTTTATACGATAACATATAATTTATTGAAATTTCGTTATTTTTTGGACACTTGCGATTCTTCAGGAACCATATTTTTCAATATTTTTATTAATCAATCATTTCTAATGTTACTTCTTCCGATGTTTTTGATTGGTTTTTCTTTTGTACTTTTCTTTTTTGATGTACAAAATCTTTTAAACCAATTGGTCTACCACGTTTTTGACGTATTTGAGATTCATTTGCTACAATAAAATGCCTTCAAGGACATCAATTTTTACTAGATTATTTTCTACTGGGATATATAACTTTTTCACTTTTCTTGTGTCATCAAATACATCAGGTAATTATTTACAACTCTTTCCAAATGAATGATTTCTTCAACCTCTTGCTCACATTGATTATTGCAGAGATCAAAGTAAGATAGAGTCTTTTCATTCCAATAAATTTTACTTTGTCTTTTAGAATATAATTTTTTCCTCCTAAAGTTGGAAAATTCATTTCATCAAAATGACATTCTGCAAAACATGCAGCAAATAAATTACCCATTAAATGTTTCAGGTACTTAATAATAGATGGTAATCAAGAACCATATAAATTCCGAGTCTTCAAGTCTTCCTTGAAGACTCATTTTAGTACGTTGTAGGGGTGAAATGTGGACTTGGATAGCACAACCAAAAACCTGTAGGTGAAAAAAATCAGGCTCATAATTAAATGCAAGTTGTAATGGTGAATATTGATAATAGGCAATTGATCTTATACTCACCAATGATGTAATATGTAATATGGCATGACATATGATAGGATTTTCGAAACAAAAAAGGGAAGTACTTTGTTGTCAATTTAATTAATTGAGGGTGTCTAACAAACAATAGTATTAACCCATTTATCAACATCCCAACTAACACTTATTAAAATACTGAGATTTACGCTAACTGGCAATAATAAGATACAGTCTTGATTATATAATTTGAAAATTATGCTCATAATTGAAAATTTGAGCATTAATTTTGTAAACTTCAGGTTGCAAATACCATGCAGTCATCTAGTATATATATCAAATCTATTAGATACAAATAATATTTAGATTATCAACATATAGGATGATGGAGCCCAATTTATCATCTTGATTAATTTTCAAAAGTATAGAGAATTTAGTCTCTATTTTAGTTAATGATGGTTAATGATCAATTTTTGATAAAGAGAACAAATAACATACAAGAATTCATTGGATTGAAAAATCTTCGGGTTCTTCATTTGATGTCTATTCGAATTTTGATTTCACATCATTGTTGATCAAGTGATATTCCAAGTAGTCATGCCAATCAAATTTAACTTCTGGTTCAATATAAAATATAATCAATTATTTAATTTCGAAGAAAATAATTAAACATTATATAATCATATAATGTCTATGTAACATATGTTGTATGTTTTCCTTCAAGGATAAACACAAAATCATATATTACGCATGATATATTTTTTAAATTATGTGCTATTTTAAGAGTGCGTTATATTTTATTATCGCGTCATCAAGAGCAATATTCTTCTAAAATATTAAAATTAGGGGGCAATAATGTACCAATATTTGAAATAATAAATTGTATAAGAATTTACTTTTCAAGAGTAAAATCATAATTTTTAATTATGCTATTCGAAAATAAAATATTACCCAAACATAAATAATAGTGTATTATTTCAGAAACAACAACAATTTATTATTTAGAAAATATTGACTCTTCAAAAGAATATTTTCTATGAAAATATAATATTTAGTGAGTTGTATTTCTCCAGGAGTAACATGTCAATATTCTTCTAAAATATTAAAATTATAATTCATACTTTTCAAAAGTATATAATACTCTTTTGGATTATTAATTATAGTGTTGTGCTACTTTATGAGCAACAACATAGTATGTTATTAATATAAAGTTTACAGATGGACATCTAAAAATATTTAATTACCATATAAAAATTATATGAATTTATATAGAAAATTAATTACCAAAACTGTTTAAGTAAAAAAACTTCCAAACATGCATGTGAATTAACTTCATATATAGACATGCATATAGGACAAAGTAATCATTATGTATATAATGAAATAATCATTATAGATCTGCGTACAAGCAAAAAAATTAGAAAATGTAAAAGAAGAAACAACCCAGTTTTTATGCATATGTATGTAGAAAAATTTATGTCACCAAATTAATTTTGGTACACGTGATAAATATTTATGTTTATAAAAAAATTATTACTTCCAAACATGCATGTGAATTGGCTTCATATATGACATGCATATAGGACAAAGTAATCATTATAGATTTGCGTACAAACAAAAAAACATAGAAAATGTAATAGAAGAAACAACCCTGTTTTGATGAAAATGTATGTAGAAAAATTTATATGTCATCAAATTAATTTTGGTTCACGTGATAAATATTTATGTTTATAAAAAATTATTACTTTCACTAAATTTTAAAAAATTAAGCTATCATATTGATAATGTGTCATGAGAAAAGAGAAAAAGAGAAGAAAGAATTAAACTCAATAAATTTATGTGTGTTTTATTAAGAATAAAAATCATATATTTATAGATAAAAATCAGTGATATAACGGTAATAATTTCTAGAGTTGTAGGGATACAATTGTCATTACTAATAAACTTTCTATTTACAATACTTTCAATTACAAAAAAATAATAATAATAATAAATAAATAAACACTTTTCTATTAAAATTTCAAAATAAAGTCATTTTCTTTATCCCTTTTTTATCCAAAACATATAACATTTTGCATCATATCTAAGCGATTCCTCGATTCGGGCTGAAGAAGCAATGTCATCTTGATGTACCTGATTCATGCATAATATCATAAAAATGGATACAAATTTGGTATGGATAAACTTAACGACATAAATCATTTGAAAAATAAACGTATTCATTTCATTGCGGATATTTTACAAATCTTTCATTTTTCATACTCTTCAAAGCCAAAATCTCAAAAGTTTATCATAAGTTCAACAGAAAGATCTCGTTTATATTCATTACTTTGAATTGATATCATTTTCGTTAAATTAGTATACTACTATTAAATTGTTAGATATTTATTTCGACATATGTTAATAGATCGATACATTTTTAAATTTTTTTAAAGCAAAAACAAGAAAAACTTCATCTTCATAGATATCTGACGGCCCAGATGGTGTGGGCAGTCCGTGACACCCAAACCCATTGCTACGTTTACTTAATTGTTAAGCCATTTTGTCCTTCCTAATGGGACTACTTGATATAGAATGACTCTACTTCTTAAGTCCCACTATCCAATCAAAACAGTTCTACAATTTCAACCAACTCATGAGGTTTGACAACAAAATGACTCTCGAACCTTTTATGATTATTAATTAGATAAGGCATTCAATCAACCCAATCATATAAGGATTGATCTACCTACATCTATAAAACAGGTCCCAAATACATTATTCAGGTATGTTTTTACATTATTTTTAGTTCATAGCTCACAAGCATATTTTTTTCTCTCACTAACTTAAGCATCAAAGGGGTGACAATGCCACACATTGACGCCTTTGTTTCATGCATTGAAGATTCTGGTCATGCTCATACTCAGTCGTCAAGATTAAGAATTAATATATGCATATTTTTGGTAGCATCGGTACCCATTTGCAGAATGATGAATAAACTATCACTAATGAGAACCTAACATTGAATATTAGTGAAGAAGAAGATAGAGATGAATAAAAATTTACTATTGAAACGTCAGTTTTGGTCGGTTTCCTCAGTTTTCTCCTTTTTTTCTTGATTTCTCCACGTTTGAAATGAGAAGGGTAATTGTGAGATTTTAGTTTTTTTTTTTTTTTACCATTTAAAAGGTCAAAGGCCATTTTTGGCAAATGGGAATCTATTTTCTCGTTTCAAACCATAGTGTAAGCCCTAATCTGGGCTTAGTCCGTGCTTGAATTCTATTGCAATTTATTTTGTATAGACAAGCAATATAACAAGTATCTTGCAAGAGAAAGATGTTTGTTCTCAACAAGCCAAAACGACGAATTAGTTTACGTTCAAGCTAGATTGTTGAGTAAGATGGAATTAAGAAAAGTTCTATAAGCCAAAACATGTAGATAATAAAAATTAGGGAAAAATACACACAAATGTTAGACTCTAAAAATAACATTTCATAACTAACAATCTTGCAAATTAGTTTCAAAAATCATGTGGTAAAAGAAATATAGCAATATAAAAATATATATACTATATAGATAATATAATCTATTTTTGGATAAAATATAATTCAATCTAGATCCTTAAAAAAGAAAATTCTACCATTTATATCACTCCAACCATCATCAAACAGTCTCTCTCTCTGGAATCCCTGATTTCTAAAATTCTCTCCCAATCACTAAAAATTTCTCCCAAAAATCTTTGACTTGGAGCCTCACACATTCCTGTTCAATATATGAATTCACAATTCAAATGAGAAACCGATGAAATACGTTTAGATGGAGAAGATGAAGCTCGTATTTCCAGTAATCTAATTTTCCTAAAGCACTTATAGTAAATCTGTGATTAGATTTTGAAGGTACGCATACACTAAGCTCGGCATACTATTGATTTATAAGCAATTTGGAGTAGTTGATGAGATATATAGGCAATTTGGTTCATCTTTGTGGAACGCACACAAGATAAGCATTAGATGAAAGAATATGATTAGGAGATCGTATATATACAATATAGATATTGTCAAGCTCACTGAATATCATACTCATTACGAAGACGACGATTCAAAGAGTGACTTAGTTCTCTTGTGCACCATTGATTTATAATCTAATTATTAAAAGTTTTTTAGATGATAAACTTTTAATTTGGTTTATTTTATTGCTGAATATGCTTTTTGTATTTCATAATTTATAATATCTTAACAGGTTTTTGTATTTCACAAAATTTCAGCATGAATGTGACCTATTGACTATGTTTTTGTACTGTATGTGATCAGGTTCCATTTAACAGTGATTGTGATCAAATCTGCTTGAATCGTTGTTGTTGTTATTATTGACTAGGTATGTGTTATTTGTGACCGACTGTAACCAAGTTTGTTTTCATTGTAACTGTCCATGACTAAGTCTATATTAACTGTGACTGTATATAATCATGCCCATGCTAACAATATATTACATGTATAACCAAACATATGTTAGTATTGAATATTTGTTGCAAAACGTGTTTACATTTAAAAGTCTGTGACTATTTATATGTTAATTGTGACTCTCTATGACCCAGTTCATCTTAATTGTTAACTGTGACTCTCTGTGATCCAGTTTGTATTAATTGTGACATGTTGTAACCATAATGTGTTGATTGTGATATGTTGTCAAATTATGACTTGTTATGATAAATATATTGTCACAAAATTTGTCTGACATTAAATAACAATCATTAAAAAAGACAGTCTACCATCCACATTAACCTTTTCGTATTATTAAAAATGTGAAAATATTCATCTACATATAAATAACAATCAATAATTACATTCACACACTATTCACAAGTTCACAATCACAATAAATAATTTATAGGTCACAATTATAAATTTTGACGTAAATTACATATTTTTATAAGTCACAAATTATTTGTTGGTCATAACTCATTGTACAATAACAAGTTATCAAATTAATTTGTCACAGCTTATTTATAAATCACAAAGCTACAAATTATAGGTCACAATTATAAATTTAGTCATAAATCACATATTTTTATATCACATATTATTTACCATAAATTATTCATTTTATTGGTCACAATTGCTCAATAATTTAAAATAAAAAGTGAATTCTGCATAGTATACAAACTCTAGCTTGCGCCGCCGTGTGAAAAAAATATGTGAGGGATCTAGAGAAGGAAAAATATTTTAGAAAGATAGTCTGCATGCTTTAGTACTCTCTCGAAAAATTGAAGAATTATGGAGAGATAAATGCTAGAGAGATAAAGCTTCATTTGTAAATGTCGAGAAAGAGAGCTTTTAGCAAGTGGTATAGGTGGGGTACGAGGTGGGTAGGATGGGGTATGGATGAAAACTTATGAAGTGCATAAGAGATTAAAGTTTATGATGAAATGAGACCGTCGCCAAGCAAAATAATGATTTTTGATTTCAAGATAACTTCGGGTTTGTTTGTTTTTGACGAATTGTTAGTCTAATTTCAATCGGAATCGAGCCAATGAATAAACTCAGAGCCTTTGACCCTGATGCAAGGCCAATTTTGGACAAAATTCATCGTTTAGGCTCTCATTTAGACCTTGTTGCTATTTATGGTAATTTTTATTTTTGCAATATCTCTTTCCATAAAATTCGGATTTGTATTCCGTTTGTTGGAGGGTGATCCTGAAGATAAGGATTTCCCATCTTAGTAGTTATCTCATATTTTTCTATTTTTTGGAAAAATACCTCTTATTCTATTTTTTTTAAGGCGTTGTAAGTCCTTTGAGGCGGTAGTTTTTGAATTCAATTAAAAATTTTCTTGAGAGTTTTCTCATTTTGTGATTGTTCATCTTCCCTATAATTTTTTGCTACGTCAATAACCATAGGTATATAATATATACGTGTAAATTATATATATATTGTGTTTAGGAAATCATTTCTGAAATACGAAAGTGATCTCCAATTTCAAAAATGATTTTCTAAACACTGATGCTTAACTTATGTTAAGTATCGGTGGCATGAAACATCATTTAATTGATGAATAAGTAAATAATAGGTCTCATAAATTTAATGATTCACTAATTAAATGGTATGTCATGTCACCGATACTTAACATAAATTAAGCACCAAACAATATATCATTTCTGATATATGGAAAATAGATTCCTACTCATGGCGACCTAGTTGAATTAAGAGAAGTTGTATGTATTATTGCACGACAATCGATTAGAAAGCCGATACTCAATTAACATTAAGAACTTTTCATACCTGCGGAGGCTTTGAGTTAATTTTCCCTAAAAATTATCTTAACAAAGATAATAAATTTATGGACTTGGTCCACTTTTAGGCCCATATAAAGATCGTTGACTCGGTAATAGACTCTTCTCTAATTGCAAAATTTATGATCGAGAGCATGTTTAACTCACTGGATGGTCTACTTTGGTTTGTCAAGTTATCCACGACCATCCTTTCTCAAAATTGCTTAGGTCACCACCCAAAACATCGCATTAAAGCGCCGCCCGCTCCGCTCTCGCAGCCCATTTCGCCAACCACCACTTCATTGATATTATCCCTTTCACTATGTTCCAACCATTAGTACTTCGAGATGTTCCATCTGAAATCCAAGAAGACTGCGCAGAAAGTCAACAGTTCCAATCCCAAGAGATCCAGCAACAAATTTACAATCTCCTTTCAATCAACTCCACCATAGTAATCAGGCAATTCCCCTCCCAAGGCCTCTCGTTCCAGCTTTGGCCTGCCGCCACCACTTTAGTCACCCTCCTCGATCGCCACCACCCCCGCATCACCACACCTCTCTCCGCCGTCTTCAACGGCAGCGGCGCAACCCAACACCGCCCAATCCGCATTCTTGAACTGGGCTCAGGCACTGGTGTAGTTGGCATCGCAGCAGCTGCCATACTTGGTGGAAATGTCACTGTCACGGACCTACCTCACGTACTGCCCAACATTCTGTTCAACGTCAACGCCAACGCCGAAATGTTGAAGCACCACGGCGGTGCAGTCGAAGTGGCGGCGCTTTCTTGGGGTGACACTCATAACATGGAGGCTATAGGAAGAGAGATTGATTTGATAATGGGGTCTGATTTAGTGTACCATGATCATCTCTATGAGCCTCTGCTTGAGACCCTCAAATTCTTTTTGTCAAGAAGTGAGAAAAGGATTGCGTTTTTGATGGCTCATGAGAAGAGATGGAAGAAGGAATCTGCATTCTTCAAGAAGGCTAAGAAGTCTTTCGATGTTGAGATTATACACAATGATGAACCCTCCAATGGATCTAGAGTTGGAGTGGTGGTTTATCAATTTGTAGGGAAGTTTGGTGCAAAACTAAAACCCGAAATTGGCCGACCTTTAACAATGTAAGAATTTGAACCGTCATTAATTTTGCCAAACATGGTTTTTAATTACTAATTTGCATACATTTTATTGGAAATGTTTATTGGAAACCAATATTTTCATGAAGAGTCGAAGATGATCATAACTTGAATACATGAATTGAGTAACCTTTTCTAATCTAAATTTGGTTTAAAAAAATCAAATCCCATCTTGTACAAATTATTATAACCTCATAAATCATGACAAAAACCCGCAGTTCAATTACACTCGCGAACCCATAAAATAATTAGTTTCGATAATTATTTTTTTACAACAAAATCAGCTTTCAACTACCATAGTGAAACTTAAAAAACAAAACATCACCACCATTCAAAATGCAAACCTCACCTTCAAGAAGAAATGTACAAGGAACAGCAACGTTTATGGTCATAGATCGATAACTTCCAGGAAACAATAGCATGCTTCTTAATTGTGCATTTAAGAGGCAGCTGTTCTCAATTGAAATAACAAATTGGGCTTCACTTTTCATGGCTTGCAAATCACATTGAGCCCCATTTTGTTCAAAACTCATTTTCAAGCACACATTATTCCATAAAATAATTCTACATGTAAACCCAAAAATTTTCCCTATTTCACATTCTTCAAAAAATCATTATTCCAAAGCACGTTTAGCCGAAAAAGGGGCTCAAACTGGATCTGAAAATTTTACTTACCACACTAGGCAGAAATGATGATATGTTTATTCGCCAAAAACAATATGCAAAGCGCACAATGTTCTTTTACTTACCACACTATAATCTCTTCCGCAACAGCCTTCATATTTTGTGAATCTTTGAAGCATTTAAAGTGCACAATTGTCTTGCCATTGAGATAAATAGCAATGACACTAGTACCTATCTTTTTGTTACAAACAGAGAACATGCTATCGCTGGTGATCTTCACGATGTTCCTTTGTTTATAGAGTTCATCTTTTACCTGTTACATACCATCGGCCATTAAATGAAAAGATTTTTGCAGGAAAACCAGAACAAAGTAAATTCAGATTATGGTCTCAAATAAATGAACATTTAGAGAGGTAAAACTTCAGATTGGTTTCCCTCCTCACCATTTAAGAGAGCATTTATGCATGCTCTTAGCTCTACCAAACACACAAGGGAACCCGAGTGTCGAAAGAGCATTGCACTATGGACTGGACTGAAAAAATACCAGAGTCATCCATGATTACACTATTTTCTCAATTTGCCTAATCTATTGCCAGAAAGAAAAAGCAGTTCACAGCATAATTTTGAATTTAGAAAAGCCACTAGCCGTGCCCTTACAGTTAGCATGGCATGCTCCATGTAACAGAACATAGGGAAAGGATACACATCAATGTATGAAAGAAAAGTACGTTTTTCTTGTTTATACCCGTGAATATTTAGAAGCAAACATACCCGTAGGTTTTCACTCTCTCTCAAGCTCTTTATCACTGAAAACTTCCAGCATGTTTCACTGGATTTTTCACAAAAGCAGTTCAAGAAAAGAAAGCAAGTTCTGCAGTGAACCCAAAAGGAAAACTTTTACCATGATGGAAAATTTTAATAAAGATTTACTACCCAGAAAAAGAAGCTTTCGCCAAGAGATAGATTCTAATCAAATATGTATTGCGTAGCACATTCATCCCAGCGAACACTGGAAACTTAAATGATGATTATAGATACATATTACATACGGTTGTGGGTAATTTACCCAGCAAGAGCATTCCCTTCAGCTTAGAATCCCTAGGAAGAAGCCTTAAGGCCTGTGCTCCATTAATTCTATCCCATCTTTTCATCTACAAATCAAGGACCTTATCAAGCATAATGTTAGAAGTTACTTCTTCACTGATGTCATAACCATCCCCATTACCATAACCATCACCATCACTCCTCCCACAGTTAGTGCCACTTGCACTGGTTCAAGTATCCTCAGCTCCCTCAGTTTCTGCAATCTTCTTTGAGAAGCGGCCTTTATTTTTACCAGTCTCCGTACTAAGCTTTGGGTTTCCAGGGCTCCAAGCGGACGTCAAATGAGCGATTCTTTTTTTTTTTTTTTTTTTTAAAGGTTTTTGGTTGTCTTCCAAGAATTCAAATATATTTGCAGTAGAGTTGGGTGCATTCCACTAGATTTTGCTGAATGTTGGAGTGCAGACTCGTATATCCGGTCACAATAGGACAGTACCAGTTTAGGAACATGAAGCTATAAATTATACGGAGAGAGAAAGACCAAATGACTTCATAATTTACAATCACCAAGATATAACACAATAAATGGTCAATTAGTATAAGTCAAATCTCACTTTGAGATATTCAATAAGCATCTCGGGCTTGAACTTCTGGGTGAGCTCCGGCAGTGGATGGTCCGAATTTGAGTCTTCAACTAATTTATGGAGAAGCTTGAGAGCTTCACGATGCATTGCATTTGTAAAGTTCTAGCAGACACACATACTGATTCTTTTTGGTAGAAATTCCTGGAATGTTTTTACGTCTCAGTGTCTCAGTAATTAAGACCGTTCAGAAGTTTCAATGCAGCTGAAAATTGTCCAGTTAAAACAAAAGCCTGAAGCAAAGTAGCGTCCAGCATAGCTGCCATATCCCTAGCAACTGAACTGATGGGAATATTTGATCATCCCTGTTGATGGAAAATCAAATATGCTGGTTTTTTTTAAGAAAGCATCCTGTAGCACACTGTTGCACATAATGAGCAATAAATGCTGAAACTTGAAGAAAAAACATCTGTTTGTATGACTTAATTTCTACCATAGTTAATTTAATATTTTCTACTGCCAAACTATGCTCAAATCTAGATCTATGAGAAAGAATAGATTTTTATCCAGTCAGAAATGATCTCCTAAATACTGGTGCTTAGCTTATGTATAGCATGGGTGATATAGCACACCATTTAATTGGTGAATCATAATCATTAAATATATGGGACCTACCATTAACTTATTCACCAATTAAAGGATGTGTCATGTCATCGGTACTTAACATAAGCTGAGCACCGGTGCTTAGGAGATCATTCCCGTTTATCCAGTTTTGAAGTTATTCTTTTAGACTATTAGTTTCCTTATGGCCCAGCTGGTAATGCAAAAATTTTGTAGACTAAAACAGATGGCACAAAACCGACGGCCAATTAATTACGCTCAACCTCAGGTAGGCTAACAAATCTTACCTTTTCTTTGTCCTAGGTGAGACAGAAACCACTTTGTGAAATGAAAAAGAGGGAAAACAGAAAATTTATTTGATGGGTATTAAATTCTTTGGGTCTTGCAAAATACCTAAGCATGTGACATCTTTTGAACTTGGGTAAATACAGAAACCCAACAATATTAAAAACAAAAGGAAATGCACTGGGTAGCCAGCAGTTTGCACAATAAAATATAACACAGTAAATTGTCAATTTTAGGACCAATGGAAGTCTTTATTATGGATAACTCAAATTATTATATTTGACAAAAAGAAAAAAAATAAAAAATAAAAGCAGTGTCCTTTCTTTTTTATGGATAACTCAAATAATTTACTAACAAATGCACCGATGGGAACAACCCACATACAAATATTGCACTTAGAACACAGTATTGAACTTTGCATGAAGAGTTTACAGCTGGAAAATGATCTTAAGACAAGGCCTGCCACATTAATTTATTAAGGAATAGTAGCGGCCAGTCAACAGTGCAATTTCTATAAAGAACTTGCTCATAACTATAAAATGAGGTAAGACAAGGTCTACCATGTCATTTATTAATAAAGAAAGGTTGTGACTCAATATGTGGGAGTTGTAACCAGTGAAAAATCACGAAATAGAATTAGTGGAAGCAATATTAAACAAAAACATGGAGTCCATTGCTCAAAAACAATTTAGGAACCCACGTTCTACACTGTACTCCAGAATATCAGTAAATACAAATTCTTGGTTTCCAATGTAGATGATAATAAAGATCATGAAAAGATCACCCTCCATCTAGTCAGTTTGACCACTTACACCAGCTTCAATTCATCTGCATAAAGAATACCCATATGACTTGGGAAACAAAAACAATGCAAAATTATATGGGAGCATTCTAACTGGTGCCACTACCCTATGATCACAACCATTGCATTCTGCATTCCATCTTTTACAACAAGTGCTTTCATTTTTGCCAAGAAGAGATGAGTTCTTAAGATGCTTCAAAATATTTAGAAAATTATGTTAACATCGATAAGGATAACTTGGTTTCTGTTCACAACCATCTTCATCTACAGTAAAGAGCGGAGATTTCAAATGCATGAGAACCAACCAATTATATGTATATCCAAAATTTCCAACTTTGATTACAATTTTAATGTGATCTTATCCATTGCAGCTCAGTATTCATACTTTCCTCTTCTCTAGTATGAAAGATTGACCTTTGTGTGACAGAAATTTTATATGAATTCTCTCTTAATAATCTGAAGCTAGAGGCAATGATACTAGAGAATGATGAGTAGAAGAGAACAAGAATAAATCACATACGGCCTAATCTGGCTTTATGCTTTAACTTTTTGGCTAATGTGTTTATATATTCAAGTTATAAATTCTTTGTTGCTTGTTTATATGCAAGACAGAGCATTCACTTGTTCATGGCAGAATGCATTTTTTGGGACTTCAAAGGTATATTTAGGAGTTGTTAATGGGATATGTTATAACCTCAGGGAACAATTAGTCAATTCTTAATCTAGACATGATTTTCAAATATCCTAGAAGTTAACAACGCAAGACTGAGTGCAAATAATTTTTTTTATTTTTATTTTTTCCCATGGCAAGTGACTCTTCTTTAACTCCATCTAGAATCGAAAGGCTACCACTCCACATTAAACCCACAGCTACAATCTACAAATAGAAGTAACAATTTTTAGTTCGCATGCTTTCTCTTATATTAGATATCCTTTTCTATAATTTTTTATTAACATTCAATTTTTCTCTTATAATTCTCACATACAATTTCATAGAAGCAAACTAGCGATATTTAAAAGAATAACATGCTTATGTTTTATGAAACCTCAAGACCCTGTTCCACATAATCCCAAGGTCCAAAATATGGCATTTGACATGCCCACTATATAGGTGAACCATACACAATTTACTTAGCTAAGATTAAGCGACCTAGTCCAGCAAATAGAATTAACATACTTCAAGATGATACCAATCATAAACCAATTCAATCAGTAAATGAGGCCAATACACAGTGACTTTAAAAATTTTCTACTTTATAGAACTGCGAGTGATTTGATTAATGTCTTGATTGTCTTCAACGGAAGAATTGAAGCACTTAGAATCACAAAATACAAAAGCAAAACACAACAGCATACCTTCCCTGCTTTCTTTGAGCGATTAGTTCCATAAGCTACAAAATCATTTCCGATAGTATTAGAAACAACCTCCTCAGTTCCCTCGGCAGTCGCTTTCTCAATAATGCTGGATCTCTTCTTCTGCAAAAACTTAACGAGAGCCATTGGAGTATTGTGGCTCATTTTTTTCAATTCAAGATCTGCCATCTCCTCAGAGTCCAATACATGCAGTGAAGTTGAAGATTCCATATTATCTGAGATGCCAGAGGAACCTCTTGAAAGATCTGGAACCTCCACAATGATATCTGTGTACTTCTCTGGTTCAGGCATCACAGATGATTTTGGTAGTATGATGATAGATGAAAAAAATGAGAGAATATAAGTGATTTCCACTTGAGATGCTAAAAAATGTTCCATTGCCTCCTCATAGTTTCCATTTTCAAACAAATAGTAAGCGTATCTTTACATGCACAATAGTTCAACATCACAACCTTTTAATATGCAATAAGTTCCAGCAACATTCCATATCATCTGACATGACAGAGGAACCTCTTGAAAGATCTGGAACCTCCCCAGTGATATCCGTGTACTTCTCTGGTTCAGGAATCACAGATGATTTTGGTAGTATGATAGATGGATAAAATGAGAGAACATTTGACTCCTCATAGTTTCCATTTTCAAACAAATAGTAAGCATATCCGTACGTGCACAATAGTTCAACATCACAAACTTTTACATATGGAATAAGTTCCAGGAACATTACATACATGCTTACTTTACAGATGTCTAGCTTAGAACATACACAGAAAATGAAGTCAGACAACTGTATCTGTTCTCCGACCATTTAGCATCTCAGCGCTTTTATACTCTCTTAAATCAACATAGCACACGGTTATTGTGATTCTTTCTCTCTTTCTATGTTCTCAAAAAATTAGAAACTGGTTTATGCCATTTAATCTATCGTAGTTTGCAACACTGCATTAATAGGCATTGGAGATATACTTTGTTAGGTTTTCCCACATTACTAGGAACTATTCTTGAGATTTCAGATGTTCTTGGTAAGCACAGAAACCTTTGGAAAAAGTAAACAAATTTTGTCAGTTTCAGCAATACTTTTTGCCTCAAGTGTATACAAAGCAATGCAGTAACTATCTTGCTAGCTTGTCATATTCCCTCGTACTTAGCCTGCAGACCTCTTAGAATTATAGCATAGGATAAATACAATACTTCAGCCTACACAACTAAGCACGATTAATTACTTTACTAGCACCATCTTCCCATTTTCCAGAAACAAGAAAGAGAATATACACATGGTTTCGGTTTGAATAGCTTCACGGAAGATATTCTATATGAGTCGTCAGATCAGTTTCGGAAGCTGGTGGTTCGACATCTCTTCTACGCCCATAGGAGAGAATCCAAAATAGAAAAAATAATGAAGTTATCAATGACATAGTTGTGGGATAGAGATATATTCCACATACTTAAGTTCCTGTCTAGCAGTATTCACAAAATATCAACTCAAAAGACCTCAGTCGCTATTGTAATTTCCCAATGCCAGCATCTTATGTTTTCTGATCTTCAGATCAGTTTCATCCTAAATTAGGTTCTTGCAGCTCTAGTTGAAGGAATCTAGGGCTCAAAACCATCAACCATGGGTTTGTATGTAGATATTCAATTATCATCCAGAAGAAATCATAAGGAACATGCTTCTTTCTACATGAACATATAATGTTAATTTTAGCAAACTTTTCTCTGTTGGTATTCAGTCCAACACGTGTTTCAATTTAAAGAATTATCACTCTAAAGATTTATAATGAACCCAACAATTGGACAAAGCATTAGAATGAAATTTTGAAGTTTGTTCCAAATATTCAGTTCCTCTAGTCCATTTGATGTACGGTCAACTGCTTTCAACATGTTATTATATCTTATTCATTCCTTTCAGTCTTGGTGTTCTAATAAAAATAATCTGAAAAGGTTGGTCTCGTCTTTAGAATTCTAATGGTATTGAGTTCCTTATTTAAACAATACAACATGATTGATATAGCAACGTAATAAAGCTGAACTCTTTGGTGCCCAGACGACCAAACACCTACACCAAAGGCATTGGTCATCTCATCCTAGAGTCAAGCCAATGTGATTATGCATGAAAACATTTTTCCTCAAGTCTATTACAAGAAGTGAAAATAAAAGTTGTCGAATTCCAAATTATTGTGCAGCCAGCAAGTAGATCATTCAATAAGATGTGCTCATCACTGGATCAAACTGCACAAAACTTATATGTGGGTTAGAAACTCACAAGTCTTCATGTTAATTTTTTAAAAGTTAAGTGCACCAGATAGACTTGGATAAGAGAAACAAGAAGTTACAAGGGCATACAACTACTTTATAGGGATTGACTGCTCCTTTGAGGCCCGAAGGCTTGAATATTCTGGTGGAAGTAATTTGCACAAAGCAAGTGCTTCCTCAACATCACCAGATGCTGTTAGTTGCACGATCTGCTGGATAAAATAAACTATTTTCGTGGAACTTTTATTAGGTTCAACAGTGATAGATTCTCTAGGATTTCTCAACCACTTGGCCCCCCTTGAAAATGTAACATTCATTTCATATTATAAAATCTTCTTTGTTCGAAAAGTCAGAGACCTGGAGGGCAGGAATATTTATAACTTCAATTTCTGTCATGCCTCGATGTAGAGTCATTCTGCTTTATGAACAAAAACATAATGAAATTGTTGATACAACATTGATACAGAATTCTCAGTTGTTTTAGATAAATCGTTTCCAGAACTAGTCATCGCTTAAATTATAAATGTACATACTTAAGGAAACTTTTCTGAGAAGATCAAGTTTATATTGGTTCCCAACACCAAGTTCCTAACACACTGCCATCGCAATCACAAAAACCTTCATAACAGAACACAATTCTGGAATTGCATAAAGAAGATGGAAGTGCCTTGGATTTTCTAGATAGTGTTCTATACCTGTGCACCAAGAAGAACAGGAAACAAGCCATAAACAGAATTGTCTACCACTACAATAATAATGTTAGCTTCGAAGGAGACCCCAAACATTGCTGAGAACAATTGTTTGTATCAATGGATAAGGAGGCCAAAGGGACCGTATCTGCATATTCATTAAAAACTGAACTGAAGAAATGCAAACAATAAAAGGAGAGGAAAAAGTCATTGTTTGAAGTTCAGGATACCTCAACATGTCATGGTAAGAGACCTAGATCATATGGATTCTCAATGGTAACTTCTGCAGGATCCTCTGACCAACAAATACTGCCTTCCTGAAGAAGCTTTCCATATTGGCCAACAAACACACTAATATTATCCTGAAGAAAATGGAAACAGCTTATTTCTGTTATTTTATTGAGATGAATCCTAAAGACAAGATTGACAAAAATAAAGATGGATATGCTATAAGAAATATAACTATTCTGAACAAACTTAATAAAAGAGAGCAGGGAATGGATAATAGAATAAATCCTTCAAACTGAAGTTATTACAAGAGTTTATAGATTTGTCAATACAAATGAACTTTGTCTATATACCGTGACCAAATGACCAAATGCATGTTAACGTTATGATAGGATACCACTGGGAAGAACAAGCTCAAACACTGATTTTATTGAATATGGAACAATTACAAGAGCTAAAAAAATATTAAAGCCCGTAGAAGGCTGTAAACAAGAACAATGACTCAGACTCTTACTCAATTTCTGTCTAAGCTCTACCCTTCCTCCCACCTTTATTTATAGCTACTCCTTAACGAATTCCCTCCCCTCACGTGCCATAGTAGCAGAAATATGTTGATGCACCTATTTCTCAATCCTTCTGGACCCTTCTAGAACTGGTGGCCTATCATTAGCCTTGGGTACCAAAGACACCTGGTCCTCAGGTGGATGTCGGAAAGGCGTCGCCGGCTAGAATAAACTGATTCCCATGAAGCTTCAACTGTTGGACGGTCTTCCTCCTCCGGATGTAAGGTTTTTACCACGGTTTTAAGGGAAATCACCATCTTGTGAAGACTTGCATCTCCCTTCAAAGTAAACTATTTGTCTCCCATTCTAAATTGCATGGTTAACCCCTTCCAGTTGACCTCCATATCTCCCAAACTTCGAAGCCACTGCATTCCTAGCACTACATCAGCACAACCTAGCGCCAACGGTAGGAAATTATGTACGATAGTCAACCCCTGCACTTCAACTACTACACCTTTACAAATTCCCCTTCCCTTAACAAGTTGGCCCGTACCCATTATTATGCCATAATTGGTGGTAGCCTTGGTTGGTGGTCCCAGTTTCTGTACCAACTCTAGTGAAATAAAATTGTGGGTCGCCCCACAATCAATTAATATCGTTACTTCTTGCGGCCTGCTTTTACCTTTCAATTTCATAGTGCCCGGTGTAGAAAGCCCAACCACATTGTTAAGAGACAATTCTATTGTGTTCTTCACCTCTACAGATTTTTCCTCAATTTGCCCGTAAGTTCCTTCTTTCTCTTCCTCTCCACCATCCCCTTCTACCAACAGCACACAGAGCTCATGATTTCGACATTGGTGGCCCACCGTTACTTCTCTTCACACTTGAAGCACAAGCCCTTGTCCCGCCTCATTTGCATCAGCATCTGTCAAACGCTTGGCTGGATATTCTGATTGCTGGAAGTTTTCTCCTTCATGATGATGATTTTTGTTGGGAACGTCTAGAGCATCTTGGCCTCTGATCGAATTTGAGATGAATTGGGTTCCATTGATTCATGGGCTGTGGGCTGAAAGTTGTTAAGTACCAGACTCTAATCCTCAATCTTCTGGGCTACTTCCATATTTGGGCCTATACCCTTTGGGCCAGTAGCCTCACCCCAGCCCTTCTAGCCTGAGCCCATTAACAAAGGTGTTCTGTAGCACTTCGTCAGAAATTCCCTTCAGAGGCGCAGCCAGCACCTCAAATTCCCGCCAGAAATTTACCACCGTCCCCCTTTGTTTTATGGCCAAAAATTTCTCACAAAGGTTTCCCTCTTGCATCGGCCGGAATCGCAATAGCAGCTGCTCCCTGAATTGCTGCCACGACTAAATGGGAGTTCTGGCTTCAGTCCATTGCAGCCACGACAATGCATCGCTGCCCAAGCTGACCGCAATTGCTCCCAGCTTCTCTCGTTCAGTAAGCCCATTTACTTCGAAATACTTCTCTGCTCGAAATAGCCAACTGTCTAGGTTTTCTCCACTGAAAACGGGCATCTCTAGTTTTTGCACCCATCGCCAGTGTTCCTCTTCCTTGCTCTGCATCGCGTTGGTTATAGTCCCTCCCATAACTGGATTCCCCAACTCCTTCCCGCAACTTTCCTGGTTCAACTACATGGTGCTACTTTGCGATTTCCGACTGCTCCGGTCCTCTTGTCACACTCATTTTCTCCGTCGATTTCCTTGTCTTCTCCATCGCCTGCATTATTGTTGCCACGTTTTGAGCTAGCTGCATCATTGTTTTTCCCATGCCGCACATCTTTGACCTCATCTCCTTTAGTTCCTTTTCCACGGTGTCGATGCGGCCATCTGTTCTCTTTTGTGCCATCGAAAAGACCTGCTCTAATACCAGTTGATAGGATACCACCGGGAAGAACAAGCTCAAACACTGATTTTATTGGAAATGGAACGATTACAAGTGCTGAAAAAATATTAAAGCCTGTAGAAGGCTGTAAACAAGAACAATGACTCAGACTCTTATTCAATTTCTGCCTAAGCTCTACCCTCCCTCCCACCTCTATTTATGTCACGTGCCATAGTAGCAGAAATCTGTTGATGCACGTATTTCTCAATCCTTCTGGACCCGTCTTTAACCGGTGGCCTATCACGTTACAGGGATGCTAACAACTCTTGCATCACTCTAATGATCATTTGCCCGCACAAACCATCTCCTTAAAGAAAAACCCAGACTGTGATATGTGCATATGTGTTGTGCTAGTCATATACCAAAGTGAACAGAAGCATACATGTTATATATATGTAGGTTGACTATTATCATTATATATAATTCCCAGGTTGATCTCCTCTCTTCACTGCTATCACTGACCATGAATTCCAAATCAGGCCCAGAGACTAGAAGCACCAAATATTATCCTGTGTAGTCAAAACACTAGCTTTTGAACAAAAACCTCAAAAAGAATTGGGTATGATCTTCAACTTTGGTGTGTCTCACAAAGTTGCCACAAGAAAACTTACTTTTACCAGCAAGGACCTGATAAAAATGGTCATATATGCAAGGGTTTAAGCAGCAATAAGTAAAATAGAACAAATAATTGGTCAGCATCATGACAAAAGTATACATATGCCTTAGTTAAGGAAAATAAATTAAACTTGTTTTGGCCTCAACAGAACGTCAGAACTGTAAAATGAACATCAAGGAACGAACGAAAAGCAACTGATCATATTTAACCTTCAATTGTGTTTACTTTTCAACTGTAGAATTAAAAAAAGGAAAGATGTTGTGTCTTGTCTGGTAGGGTTCTAATCTTAGTCACACAATTTTTAGAAGTACTGTTCAATGGTGCCTTCACAATTAGATGAACACTGATCCTACCTTGCAAATAAATACTATAGCATGCACATCATGACTCTGATTTTTAAAAGAAGTCCTATTTCGATGATAATGTTATAGAAAATAATAAATTTCTAGAAGATGACGAACATGGCCAAACCAATTCTTATATCTACACATATACAGGTATTCCTGAATGTAAATTACAATCAACGTAATTATTAGTTAACCAAATAATTAATACAGTGAATAATAAACAGAGTTGTTCAGCACAGTACATAGCAACACATAAACAACGATACTCAAAAAATCTTTATTGTAAGAAAGTAGCAATTCAAACCTACATAGGTATCATGCTTTTATGTTTTGGTTGTTGAATAATCCAAGCATACCTAACATGAGAATAGAATAGTTATTATTTTCTCGATTTTTATATAATAAAATTTCTACAGGAACACAGTTCATTAAATCTATATGCGCAATATTCACCTGAATAAACTATGACATGTTCCATCATTGTATTGTAAATCGCAAATGTATTATAGCCATAACGACATCTAAGTAATATACTCCGAATGCATCAAAAGCATAAAAAGAACACTTGATTCAACCTTTGATTGAGTTATAGTCTAGTCTTGTTATCATGTATATTAGCTACCCATAAGAAATATATTACCTTGCCCAAAAGAAGTTCTCCATATGGAAGAGACACCACCAAAGTTGGGGGCAATCCTCCCTGAAGAAAACACCTCAGACAAGGCATCATTTGTAGCATTCAAGATCGTATACTCTGTTCTGATTCCCACACATATATTCTCACCACACCATGACATTGATCTAACTGCGTCTGGAATACCAAATTATTTCACCTCCACAAACCCTCGTCCCTCTTCACAAATAGGGAAACCATCACGAGTGGGATCACCATATAAGGCAGAATGGTCAAGGCAAAACATACGGAAATATTGTTAATGACCACCAAAGCTCAACAGCTGGGTCCAGAACCTGCAAAAACCAAAGGAGCATGCTACTTATACACTGCTGTACCGACTCCCCCCACAATAGGGGTCCACAATTTTTTTTATATATCGTGGGCCCCCTCTTTTTGTTACGGATCAGTGTACGAGTATCAAAATTCAAAACAAAAATCCCTAAGCCAGATAAGTTGTGAATTTTCAACTTATCCAACTTATAAGCTACGGGACCCACATTTGTGTGGATTTTGGCTCATAAAATTTGTGAATACCCAACTTATAAGATAGCACCTCTTTAAAATAACCCTTTTGACATGGTTTTTTGAGAAGTAATAATAAGACTCCATTTGGTAAACATTAATGTAAAAATAAGAATGAAAAATATAGTTGTTACGGATCCACACAGAGATAGAAGTCAAATATGGTGACTTGATATGATAGATAACGGTCATATTTTTCATTTTAATGAGCAAATAATGAGAAATAAACGAGGGCCAAATTTTTTGAGATTCAAAAGCTGTTTTTGGACTCAATTGGTTAGTTTTACAAAAGTGTTTCTTCTAGTTATACGATCTAATGCAACTTTCTCTTAAAGTTCTTCCAGAAGAAAATGTTTTTTTAGAAATTAAACTTCAAACAATAATCAAGAAAACTTTCTCTAGAAGTTCTTCTATAAGAAATAGAAAGAAAACGAGAAGCCCTACCAGCAGCCCTAAGAAAACTGATGCTTTAGTAGATAACTAGAGCATATAAAGGCAACACATGATAAAACTTCCTGAGGAGATAGAAGAATTCTCCACGGCTCAAAGGAAAAAAACACCAAGGGAGTTGAGATGATTGAGATCGCACTAAGAGGTTCATCCTCTTGATCGACAACTCAAAATCATATAGAAGAATTTTCTCTCTCTTCTCTCTAGTTTCTTTATGTTTATTAATAGTCACCGGACTAGTGGTGCAACCAAACCAATATATAGTCATTGGAGTTTGAAAGTACATCTCGAGTTATACCTAGTCTTCCTATTACACTCACATCTGAGGCAACTATCAGAATTGGAGCGAAGTTTGTGTAGAACTATGATGTTCGGACTCGGATATGGGTATCGAGTATTGGTACGTATCTAAGTGTCGGATCTTTTATTTTCTAAAATGTAGGATACGGGACATGGTTAAAAAAGTCTAAATTTTGGACACGGGTAGGTGGGTACATCTTTCAGACTTCAATTTTTTTACTAACTTAAGATGTTATTTTAAATAGATCAAAATTAATTGTTCACAAATAATGAAATAATATTGAATAAGAGATTAAGACGAATAAAATGGAATTTCAAGGTTTAGTTTTTAATTATGAGAAGTTAATTATTAAATGTTATATAAAATATAAAATGAGGGACTTGATTGTAATTTGAATTTAGTAGAGCACTAAGTAGTATTATATAGAATCCATTTTTATTTTATATAAATAAAACCCTAAATCATCGATAAGGAAAGGAAAAGAAGGAGCAAAAAGAAGAAAAGAAAAGGAAAAGAAAGAAGAAGAAAGGAAAATCCAATGTCATCGCCTTTCTCCACCCTCTCGAAGGTGGAGCTAGGTTTATAGAGAGTAGAAACGGGAAAAAAAAAAAAAAAGCAAAAGAGGGCGAAATGTCCGATTGAAATTTGAAGGATCCAACACATATCACATACTCATACTCATGTCGTGTCGTGTCGTGTCCGACACGGATACTCCAACCATTTCAAAAAGTCCGAGCATCAGAGGTGTGAAACTTAATATCCACACAATCTAGTTGTGTTCCTAGCCCATTATAAGATGTTGATCTCACACCCAAATAACATAATTCATGAAATTATCAAGCAGCAACCAAAAGTAAAAAAAAATGATAAATATTCGGTCCCTCATCTTTTTCTTAAATTTTCCATGAAACTATCGTGTTTTATGAATCAGCTCAACCACAAAAGACAACCCAAGAAGAACTAAATCAAAGCAGTTAACATTCACATAAAGTGAAACACAACATTGGTAGCTTAGCATAAAATACATCACTACCAATAAAAGGTTATAAAACAAAGCAGTCAATATTCCAAAAAAAAAAAAAAAAAAAAAAAAAAAAAAAAAAT